TTAATTTTCTTGATTTTGCATTACTACATTCAAATGATTCTTTCAGAATGGGAAACCGTTTATGAGATAGATCTTTCGGAAGGTTCACCCAGTGTTTATTGATGGAGAAAACCGAAATCAGTTTTGCTTTTAGTGCTTGCTATGTAGCAAAACCAAGCGAGTCACTCATTTCTTTTGCTTTGAAGGCTATATATTGCTTGACACACTGGTCTATTTGGCTAAAGTGAATAAATGCAAAAAATATCTGGGTCATAACAAGCTAACTTCACCTGCCATTGTTTAACCCCTGTACATATCCCCCTGATATAGTGTCATTCCCAGAAAAATAATTAGAATGTAAAAGCCTTTCCCATATGTATAAAGCTTTCCCTCCTCCCTTTTGCCCCTTGGAACCTCTACCTCTTTTTAGGGTTCAACTCGAGTGCTGCTCCCCAAGAGGCATTTTCTGATGGCCTCAGTTTAGTGCTCCCCTGGAGTTGTTTTGTATTTATTTTTTATCTTGCAGAGTGGCTAAAGGCAACCACTTGGCTGAAGCCCCATTTCTGGTAACTTACATCAGTCCCTGGCTTTCACTTAGCTGTGCATTTTGTTTGGATTCACTGCTAGGGGAAGCCTGACTTCCCAGGAGGAGGATTCGTTTCTTTATGGGCATATCACCACTTCAATGGAGATAGCCCAGGACCCTCAACCCAACAACCTCTGGAATAGCAGTGCCTTCCATACCATTCCTACTTCCAGCCTACACCTTGAAGCCATCATTAAGGCAAGAAATCACTATGGCAAAGCAGCCCACCTTTCTCACCACCTCCAATACTGAGTGTTGACCAGTTGCCAGCAATAGGTATGTAAACACGTGAGACCAGGGAGTGACTGCATTTCCCATGCCACCAGTCCTACTTTCAGAATAGTGCCCTGAGAAGTGAAAGTTGGTGACTGTTTCTGTCTAGGTCTAAAGACCTAGAAAAGAAAGTTATTTCCCACCGAAGTGTTTGGCATTATTTGCTAAAAAACTGAAATGATCTCCTTAGTGGAAATGGCATTAAAGATACTGTATTGCCCTTTGCTTTGTCACTAAGGATCATAGAGTCCCTTCCATCTGACTTGCAGCTGTGGAAAAAAATCAGTGATTTGGGAGTCAGAGGCCTGGATTCAAATCCTGACTCTTCCACTCACTGCCTGTGAATGGCTTTGGTGTAACAACCAGCTAAGAACTATTGTTTACAGAATGAGACTCCTGCCAGATGAATTTTGGTGGGAAGAGGATAAAAGCCCCACTTCTGACTTATCTCCACAGTACTTTACTATGCCACAGAAATCTCTTCACCCTAGAAGTTCATTCAACCCTTATTCCATTTCTCACAGTGGAAGTATTCTCTGAGCCTGAGGCCTTCTCCCTTTTATTAGCTGGTTTCTCCTAGAACTTCCATTTTCAGGAGGAAGCCCAGGACAACTATATCTTCATTCCTCTCCAGGTTACATTCCTGACTCATCTCTGCAGGACTTTCTTACCACGCCCCTTCTCTGGGTACCTTTCTTCATCCCCCGACCTCCTTTCAGCTCACTTTTATGTGTTGTCTTCCTCCATCAGGATGTGGGTTCCTTGAGCACAGAGACTGTCTTTCTGCTTGTATTTGTATTCCAATTGCACAGTGCCTGGCAAATAGTAAGTGCTTAATAAATACTTATTGACATGTTATTGTCTTCCCTATTAGAATGTGACCTCCTTAGGTCTGTATCCCAAAGAGATCAGAAAAAACCCACATATTCAAAAATATTTACAGCTGCTTTTTTTGTGGTGGCAAAAAATTGGAAATTGAGATGATACTCATCAGTTGGGGAATGGCTGAACACGTTGTGGTCTATGAATATAATAGAATACTATTGTGCTGTAACAAATGATAAGCAGGCGGATTTCAGGAAAACCTGAAAAGATTTAAATGAACTGATGCTGAGAGAAGTGAATAGAACCAGGAGAACATTGTACATAGTAACAGCAACATTGTGCGATGATCAACTTTGATAGACTTAGCTCTTCTCAATAACACAATGTTCTAAGACAGCTCCAAAAGACTCATGATAGAAAATGCTATCCATAGCCAGAGAAAGAACTATGGTGTCTGAATGCAGACTGAAGCATACTATTTTCTCTTTTTTTTCTTTCTTGTGGTTTTTCCCTTTTGTCCTGATTCCTCCTTCACAACATGACTAATGTGGATATATGTTTAATATGATTGTACATGTACAGCCTATATCAGATTGCACATCATCTTGGGGAGGGGAGGGGAAAGAAGAGAGGGAGAAAAAAATTTTGGAACTCAAAATCATATAAAAGTGAATGATGAAAACTATCTCTACATGTAATTGGAAAAAATAAAATACTATTACGTATGTGTGAGGAAAGAATGTGACCCTGAGAACACAGACAATTTTATTTTTCTACTTGGATCCCCAGCACTTACCACAATACTTTGTATATATTAAGTGCTTAATAAATGCTTTTTAATTAATTTGTTCATAAGGATAGTGAGAGCTTGTATTCTTTATATCTTTCAATCATGTGATAATAAAGATGTGGCCTATTGTTTAATGTCAACTGCAAAAGCCAGCCTATTATCTACTAACACAATTATTGATGATCTCTCAATGCATATATAGGTTATTCTCATAAAATTTTACATAGAAAAGTAGGCATAGAGGTCAGTTGTTATTGAGCTTTTGAGCACTTTTTTTTTAGTAATAATAATTCAGATTTATATAGCATTTTAAAGTTTGCAAATCATTTTACATAAATTATTTCATTTGGTCTGGGAAACACTGTGAAAAAGGTGTCCTTATTATTTTCACTTTACAGATAATGACACTGAGGCTCAGAAAAGTTAAATGACTTGTTTAGGATCACATAGCTTGTTTCTGAGATCAAATTTGAACTCAGGTCTTCCTGATTCATAGGTAAGTGCTTTGTACACTATGCTACTCTGTTTCTCCATAGTCTGAGTATTTTCCCATGCCTTTGCTATCTTTCAAATACCTTGTGAATCCATACAACTGGAAATAAGAAATACAGGAAATGGGGTATAGAAATCTATCCTGCCCTACAGGAAAATAGAAGGGGAAGGAGACAAGAGAAGGGGGGCAGAGATAGAAGGGAGGGCAGATTAAAGGAAGGGGTATAAAGAATATATGCCATCTTGGGGTGGGGGGAGGGATGAGATGGGATAAAATTTGGAGCTCAAAATCTCATGGAAGCTAATGTTGAAAACTAAAAATAAATAAATAAAAATTTGTTAAAAAGACAAATAACTTGGGAATCAATTCTGCGAAGCCCTTACATTGTTTAGATTTCTTCCAGCATGAATGACCTCTGTGTACACTTACAGTATGACAGAGGCAAAATTATATCATCATTATTGAACAAATCTTAGTTATTTGATGTTCTCTACTCATATCTGACTAGGTCAGCTAGATGGTGCAGGGGGTAGAATGTCAAGTCTAGTCAAGAAGACCTGAGTTCAAATGTGTTCTCAGACACTACCTGTGTGACCATGGGTAAGTCATTTAACTCTGTTCACCTTAGTTTCCTCGTCTGTAAAATGAGCTGGAGAAGGAAATGTCAAACCACTCTAGTATCTTTGCCAAGAAAACACCAAATGGGGACATGAAGAGTCAGACACAACTAAAACAACTGAACAATGACATTGATATCTGAATTGCTATTGTTGGTCAGTTGTTTCAGTGTATTGACCTTATCACTATTCTGTCACCTCCTTTAATAACTCATAACTATATAGAATGAATTATTTCAATTAAACTCCATGATTTATATACTAATTTTTTTAAATTAATATTCATACTAAAGCTAAAATAATCTCAAGTTCTACTCTGAGATTAGGTGTTTACCTTGGATTTTAAACTAACATTTTACCATTCAGATTTCACATTACTTTTAGACACAAAATTGATTTCCAAATGGTATGATTTATATAGACAGAGTAATCCTAAGTTAGATTGTATGTATTTTTTTATCTATCTTAAAAAAGGAACATATCATTTCTAGAAATAAGAAAAGGCTACTCTCTATTACAGAAAAAACAGCATTGTTTTGTCAATCACTTTTGTGTGTTCCAGAGCAAAGAAAAGAAATCCTTACTAGTATAATAGAGTAGGAATAAAGCTGCCCTGTCTGCTTTCAGTTGGTCATGTGTCTTAGCTCATCATTTAGACTTTGGGAGATAGAGAAACCCCTGGTTTCTTCTCATTGGTCACATGTGACACAATGCTAAGGTCCTCCACTATTTTGGATTTGTTAAAACAATTCCCTTATTGGCCACTGAGCAGGAAGAGCTGATGACTCAGTAGATCTTTAAAAGGTAATGACTGGTGGCAGCTAGGTGGCGCAGTGGATAGAGCTCCAGACTTGGAGTCAGGAGGATCTGAGTTCAAATATGACCTCAGACACTTGGCACTTACTAGTTGTGTGACCCTGGGCAAGTCACTTAACCCCATTGCCTAGCAAAAATTAAAAAAAAAAAGGTAATGACCTACCCTCACATGTATCTTCTGTTCCTGAGTAAAGAACATCTTAGTATTATTAAAGTGTACTCCTGGAGGAGGAAAAACAGGATTTGTCTGAAGAGACTGATGTAGATGAACAGGGAACTCACCAACCAAATGGATATTAAAAAGAAATATACAGAAGATAGAAGCAAGACTTGGTAATACTGAATGAATGAGTGTGACAAATCCTATAAAAATAGTGTCAGAAATACTAAAGTTCAGAATGAGCTAAGATTGGTGAAGGAAGCTAAGGACAGTAAAAAGGTTTTTTAAGTTATATTTGGAGAAAATCAGGTAGTCCCTTTGCCTGAGGTTTATGATTTGATAACCAATAACAGAGAGAATGCAAATCTGCTCAGTCTTTATTTTGTTTCTGTTCTCTCTGCAAAAGAGAATAAATGACCTTTACATTGGAAGTCATAACTATAGGAGTTGTCCGAAAGTGGAATGGGTTGCCTGTCCTCGGAAATCTTCAAGCAGAGGCTGTATGACTGCTTGTCCAGTGATGATTCCTTTAGTTTTTATGTTGGAGTAGATGGCCACTAGGGTCCCTTCCAATTCTCAAATTATGTCATTCTGGATGCTGGGAAAAGGGTGCTGGTACTAAGCCAATGACACTACTTGGTTAGGTAAGCTATGCCTGGGCTTTGGGATCCCTGATTACATTCTTTTTTTCTCTTCGTATTTTCTTTCATGAATATAGGTAGCCAAAACAGTGATCCTGAAACCAGTCTTGGTGAAAATCTTGTGAATTCCAGAGGTTGAGATTCTGGGTTCCTTAGCTCATAGCTGATTGGTGACAGGGGGGAGTTTCTGTATCAGAGGAAATGATCACTGACAAATGAACCCAAATCCTCACTTGCCTTGCCAGAAGACTTGAATTTTGAGACTAACGGTGTGGAATGAGATGAAATGTAAAAATGCCTATTCAGCAGTCCCTCAAACGATCATTTTCCAATGTTTAAGTTTTAACTTCCCTGGAAAAATATAACAATAGTTATGTTTTAAGTCTTTTTATTAATGTATACTTGTGAAAGCCTTTTGTGTTAAGCATTTTAAAAAATTATAAACAATAAATATCTATTCCTGATCTATTTTGTACATTGAGTATCTTTCTACACCACCTATTTGTATGGGGTACTCAGGGAGGACTAACACCTCTGGTGTGAGGACTTGCTGAGCCCTTTACAAGGCTGCTCATTCACCTTTGGTGTCTACCTATCACCCAACTCTAACCTGTGGCTCCAAGAAGCTGTAGCCAGGTTGGGGGTAACTGATAGGCCTCAAACCTGTTAGTGAGTTAATGGGGTATTTACCCCAAGCATGTAAAGACTTCCTCTAACAGAACAGGCAGATGAGAACAATTTTTTCCAACGATCATGAAGGCAGCTGAAGCAGGCACTGTGGAGCACTTAGAGTTTTATCAGACATCAAAGACACCAAGTGTATCCATTGCACCCCTGGCCATCAACAGTTGTCCTGACTTTTGTCTTGCCACTGGACTTTGATGACTCTGGAAGAGACAGTGAGGCTGATGACTTTGTGCAATTCTGCCGCACTTAAATACAGTTCCAGACCAAGTCAGGAGAGTACCACATGATGTCATTGGTCCTGTTCAGAAAAGGAAAGACGAACAACAGCAAGCCCACCCTTTGGTGAGACTCTAAATAGGACTCATATGTAAGTACTAAGCAGTTTTCCCCTTTGAGTAACAGAGAGAGGATGAGAGAGAGAGAGAGAGAGAGAGAGAGAGAGAGAAAAAGGAGGCTAGCTCTTTTTTGGAGGCAGGGGGAATTTTTACATTCTGATTTTAAACACCAAAAGAAAAAGTCATTTCCAGATGTCTCACAGAACACAAAAAGAGGATTTAATATAGAACCATGAATCTCAGTTTCATATTACTTGCTTATTAAAAAAAAGTACATAATTCTACATGTTACTTTCAAAACTGGACTGCTTATTTGTGCTTCCTTCTCCTATGCATTTTTAAAAAATGTTACAAAGGCCCTCTTTTTTTGCATTAATATTGATAGCCATAATAACTTCTCTCAATTAAAACCCAAGAACAAAGAGGAAAAAACCCTTATAACAAATAAGCATAATAAAGCAAAATGAATGGTCATGTACAAAAATGTATGTTTCTGCACTTTTTCTCTATCATCTCTCTGTAAGGAAGTGGTTAACATCTTCTGTCAAGGTGCTTTGGAGATAAGATTGGTCATTGCATTGTGCAGAGTTCTTAAGCCTTCAAGAATTGTTTTTCTTTGGAGTGTTGCTATCATTGTATAAATTATTCTTCGGGTTCTGCTCACTTCACTCTGTCATCTAATACTGTCCAGGATTCTCTGAAATTATCTTCTCCCTCATTTTTGTGATTCAATAATATTCTATCACATTCATATGCCACAATTTGTTTAGCCATTTCCTAACTGTCTAAGAGAAAGGCAAAGGAATCTCTTTAGATTCTAGTTCTACAAACCCACCTCTCCCCAGTCCTAGTCCCAGTGCCAGTCCCACTTTTAAAAATCCTCCCTTCATTCAGTAAGTAATTTATTAAGTGCTTCCTGTGTGCTAGGCACTGTGCTAATCACTGAGGATACAAAAAGAGGCAAAAAGACAGTCCTTGCCCTCAAGGATTTTAGTTGGGCCTTGAAAGAAGTTAGTGAAGTCAAGAAGTGGAGATGAGCAAGGAAAGCATTAAAGGGAAAATGCCCAGAACTTGTTCTTAAAACAGCCAGAAGGCCAGTGTCACTGGATCAAAGACTACAATTTGGGGAGTAAGGTGTTAAGATGAGTGGAAAATTGAGACCATGGTGGTGAGTCTTATGAAAAACTTTGAATACTAAATATAGGATTTCGTATTTGACTCTGGAAGTGATAGGGAGCTATTGGAATTTATTGAGTAGGGCAGTGAGGTGGTTGGACCTGCATTTTAGGAAAATCACGTTGGTGGCTGAACAGAAGATGAATTGGAGTGGGAAGAGACTTGAGGCAGATAGAACAATCAGCAGTCTTTGGTAATCAAAAGAGAAAGATTTTAGAATATAATTGAACAAATCTAGACATGTTGGAAATAGTTAATATTTCTCCCAGGGCAAAACACAAAGAAAATATAATCAAATGTTCAAATGTATGTTTATCTTATTTTTAATAGCAATTATATATACCATAAATACTGTTTTGAAAGTACTTTCATGTTATGTTGTTTGGATCAAAAGCAGTTTTAAAGTTCTTAAAGGAGACAGATTTGGTACCTAAAAATTCTATCTCCATAACAGTTTTATTTAAAATGCTAAATAGAATGAAAGAAAATGTATTTGGCTATCCATGGTTTGTCAGCATTTAGAAAGTGATCATAAGGACCAGCATAGGTTCAATAACAATTCATGCTAAACAAAGCTCATTTCCTTTCTTGATAGTCTACTAAACTGATACATCAAGAAAATTATGTATAGCATACCTGAATTTCAGCAAGACATTTGATGAAGTCTTTGATATTATGGACAAGTTGGGGAAATGGAGGCTGGATGATAACTGGGTAGATCCATATCCAGTTGAATAAATATATCCAAAGAATTTTTTTATTCAGTTTTTTTTTCAGTTCCAAATTCTATTAATGTCACCTCCCTGTTCCTAACCTATTGAGAAAGGAAGAAAAACAAAAACCTGTTACAAATATGTATAGTCAAGCAAACTAAATTCCTTCATTAGGCATGGTTCCTTTACTCTCTAAAAATATGCACCCTGAGATGATCACTTCTCTATCTGAAAGTGGATAATATGCTTCATTTTGACTCCCTTGGAATTGTGGTTGGTCATTGTATTGATCAACATTCGTAAGTTTTTCGACGTTGTTTCACTTTACAATATAATTGTTATTGTATAAATCGTTCTGATTCTATTCACTTTATTTTGTGTCAGTTTATATATTTTCCAGATTTCTCTTAAATCATCTCCTTTGTCTTTTTGATAACACAGTAGTGTTTATCACGTTCATATAAGATGACTTGTTCATCCATTTCTCCAAAAGATAGACACTCCATTTCCAGTTCTTTGCCATCATTAGAAGAGCTGCTATAAATAATCTGGTACATAATGGATCCTTTTCCTCTTTGATCTCTTTGGAGTATAGACCTAGTAATGGTATTCCTAGGTATGCATAGTTTAATAGCTTTGGGGGCATGGTTCTAAACTGCCTTCCAAAATAGCTGGACCAGTTCACAGTTCCACCAAAAGTTCATTAATGTACCTGTTTTCCCACACCCCCTCCAGCATATTGTCATTTTTTGGGTCAGGTTTGCCAATATAATAGGTGTGAGGTGAGACCACAGAGTTGTTTTAGCTTATATTTCTCTAATTATTAGTGATTTAGAGCATTTTTCCATATGGCTATTGATAGCTTGAATTTCATCCTTTGAAAATTGCCTATTAATATTTTTAAGAATTTATTAATTAGAGAATGGTTGTTTTTAAGTTTATTATTTATTTAAAACATTCTTTTAAAAAATTTTTGTTCTAAATTCCCTCCTTTTCTCCAGTCCCTTACCCTTTGAGAAAGCAAGCAATATATCAATTATACATGTGAAATCATGCAGAACATACTTCCATATTAGCCATGTTGCAAAAAAAAAAGCAAGAAAAAGAAAGTGAAGAAATTATACTTCAGTCTGCGATCAGAGCTCATCAGTTCTCTTTTCTGAGGAAGTAACATTTTTCATCATAAGTTCTTCAGAATTGTCTTGGATTATTGTATTGATAAGAGTAGCTAAATCTTTTACAGCAATCATCATTGCATATTGCTGTTACTGTATATGATGTTGTGCTGATTGCTCACTTCACATTGCATCAGTTCATAGAAGTCTTAGGTTTTTCTGAAACCATCCTGCTTATCATTTCTTATATCACAATAGTTTTCTATCATAATCATGTATTATAACTTGTTCAGTGGGGAATGGCTCTTTTTCTAGTAAATTATAAAAACTTATAAGTAGTGTTTTTAGTTGCATGCACAATTCATTAATCTGTTCTTCCTCTCTTTAATGGTGAAAGGATTGAAAGATGTGAACTTTCCCCAAAGAATTGCTTTGACTGCATCCCACAAATTTTGTTGTTATCTCTGTCATTATCTTTAGTAAAATTGTTTCTGATTTGTTTTTTTACCCACTTTTTTAAAGCATTGTTAGTGTCTATTATTTAAGTTTTCCTCCAAAGGCCCTTTATTGAATATAATCTTTATTACATTATAGCCAGTAAGGGATGCATTCAATATTTCCACTTTTCTGCATTTGTTTATGGAGGGTTTTATACCCTAATATATGGTCAAGTTTTGGGAAAGTACTATGCAGAGCTGAAAATTAGGTATACTTTCTATTCCCATTCAGTCTTCTCCAGAGGTCTATCATATCTAACTCTTCTAAAATTCTGTTCAGGTCCTTTATTTCTATTTTGTTTCTTTTGGGGGGTTAGATTTATTTAGATCTCATAGGAATAAATTGAGGTCTTCTGCCACTATTATAGTTTTACTGTCTATCTTCCTGTAACTCACTTAACCTTTTCTTATAGAATTTAAATGTCATGCCAAAGTTTATTTTTTAAATTCAATTTTATTTTCAATATCAAATTCCCTCCTTACCACCTACCCCTCCCCCACCTGTTGAGAAGACAAGAAAAACAAAAACCTATTACAAATGTGCATAGTCATACAAAACAAATTCCTGCATTAGCTATGTCCAAAAAAAGACAGAAAAACAAAGAATGAAAAGGAAATATGTTCAATTTGTACTCTGAGCCCATTAATTCTCTTCCTAGAAGAAGATAGTATGTTTCATCACTAGTTCTTTAGAATTGTGGTTGGTCATTGTGTTGATCATATTTACTAAATATTTTTATTAATTAATTTGTTTTAAACTTAAATACAAAATAAGAAAAGAAAAAGAAACATGTTATAAATTAAACATTAAAACTTAAATACAAAATAAGAAAGGAATAAAAAACATTGCCATGTGCACAACAGAACATAAAAGAGGATTCAAAATATACAGCAATAAATTCCCATTTCAAGAAAGCCTATGTAATAAATACTACACATTGTGTTCAGAGCTGTCCATCTTTTCTTCGCTTCCTTGTAAATTTTCTTTTGTTCTCTGCTGTATACTTTTTACTTTGTTCTTTTTCCTCCCTTCTTCCCCCCTTCCTAAAAAGGATACAATTAAGTGCGGATATATACATATATGTATGTATATGTATATGTCTATATGTGTATATGCACACATATACACACAAAGATATATAATACATGTAAGCATACATATATTTAGATATCTATAATCACACTCATATATAGACATATACATTCATATGCATCTATGTAAGACCTTACTATACTTATTTGTTCTCTGTTTTTCTGAGGGTGGATAACATCTTCCTTCAAAAAGTCCAAACTTTCCATATTTTTCTAAGTTCACCAATGCATCATTTCCTACACCACAGCAATATTCCAACCCTCTACTATCTAGGTATTTTAAATAGTCTAAAACAATATTTATTAATATGGCTGACATATAGTGTAGTTTCCCTATTGTTCTCTTTTGATTAAATCTATTTTAGCTTTAATTTGCCTGAGGTCATGATCACTACCTTTGCTTTTTTTCCTAATAAATTCTACTCATGATCTTTTTTTTTAATGTTTGCATGTATCTCTTATTTCCTATCCCTCCTGACTCCTCTACTTTACTTCTACCTGTTACTTTGCCCTCCTATTCCTTAACCTACTCCCCCTTCAAAGATCCCTCCTTCATCCTCCCATTCCTGTTAATCTAAACACCCTTCTATACCCCTGCCACCCATTCTATTCTCTCACTCTCTTATGTCTTTATAAATTTAGAAGACTTTTATTCCCTTCTAAATGTACATATTATTCTCTCTTTAACTTAGATCTGATGTGAGTGGGGTTCCCTCTAAAAATCCCTCCCTTATCATCTCCTACCTTCTTAACCCTTTAGTCTTTGATTTCTTTCTGAATTTAGAAGACTTTTATAACTATATATATATATATATATATTTCCCTCTTTAACTCATTCCCCATAATAGTAGAGTTCGAGAACTACCAGTCCTCCTCTGCCATTTAATTCCTCTATGTCAGTTCTTCATCTGACACTTCATTTGTATAAGATAATTACTCTTTTTACCTTTACTTAAATGGTTACTTTTTAGAATCACATCATACTCAGTTCTACCCCAATCTTTTTGAACTACCCAACTGCTAATAACAATCATAGATAAATGTTTTACATTTCCTCATATAAAAAGTAAATAGTTTCCCCTTAGTAAGTCTCTTGCAATTAGTCTTTGATATGTACCTCATATTTCTCTTGGATCTTGTATGTCAAATTTTCTATTCAGTTCAGGTGTTTTTGCAACAAAATCCTGAAAGTCTGGCAATTCCTTGAGTATCCATTTTTTTAATTTCCATTCAGGATTATGCTTAGCTTTGTTGGGTATGATATTTTCAGCCACAAACCCAGTTCTTTTGCTCTTCAATATATAGTGTTCCAACCTTCAGTCTTTTAGTGTTGCCTCTGCCAGGTTTTGTGTGATTCTAACTGTGGCTCTGCCATAGTTGATTTGTTTTTTTTCTTGTTGCTTGTAATATTTTCTCCTTGAGCTGAGGGTTTTGGAATTTGACTATGATATTCCTATAGGTTTTCCTTTTAGGTTCTCTTTCAGGTGGTGTTTGGCGGATTTTTTCTATTTCTATTTTCCCCTCTTGTTCTAACGCTTTAGGAAAATTTTCTTTAATTATTTCTTGTATCTTGTATCAAGATTATTTTTTTGGTCATAGCTTTCAGGTAGTCTGATTATTCTTATGTTTTCTATTCTTGATCGGTTCTCCAGATCAGTTGTTTTTCTTATGAGATGTTTCACATTCTTTTCTATTTTTTCATTCTTTATATATTACTATTTCTTGGTTTCTTATAACTTTGCTGGCATCCCCTTGCCTAACTCTGATTTTCAAGGAGTCATTTTCTTCCTTAAGATTCTGGATCTCCTGGGGCAGCTAGGTGGCACAGTGGATAGAGCACCGGTCCTGGATTCAGGAGGACCTGAGTTCAAATCCAGCCTAGAACACATAATACTTAATAGCTGTGTAACTCTGGGCAAGTCACTTAACCCCATTGCCTAGCCAAACAACAACAAAAAAAGATTCTGGATCTCCAAAGATGGTGGAGTAAGAAGTAAGTTGCTTTTACTGTCCCTTATTAACCTCTGAAAGCCCAGAAAATATTGCCCCAGGAAAAACCCTGGAACAACTGGACCAGAAGAAAGATGGGATCCAGTAGCCCAGGTAGTTTGAGAGATTAACAGGAAAGGCCCCTCTTGCCCTGGGGAAGGGGAGCAGTACAGAATGGGAGGCATCCTAGTGGAGAGCCCCACCGTAGCATACCAGGAGGAGATCCTGAAACCCAGATGGTGGAGCAGGCAAACACCAACACCAGGATGCCCGAGTGCCTCAGTGAGGGCAGGGAAACTGGTGGAAACCAGCCTGGAAAACCACCAGGTGCCTCGGCATTCTACAGCAACTGGCTTTCCTAGTGCCTCAGCAAATCTAAAAGAAGCAGCGCTCCAAGGGGCCCCAGGC